CCATTTTCTCTATCCATGGCAACCATGATGACCCCTCCGGAGAGGGTCATTTGGCGGCGTTGGACTTACTCCAGGTTTCCGGACTACTTAACTATTACGGACGGACGCCTGAGTCCGATAACATTCAGATAAAGCCGGTCCTGCTTCAGAAGGGCCGGACCAAATTAGCACTATATGGTATGAGTAACGTCCGAGATGAACGACTATTCCGTACATTTCGCGACGGAAAGGTCAAGTTCTACCAGCCTTCGATTCAGAAAGAGGACTGGTTCAACTTGATATGTGTCCACCAGAATCACCACGCTTATACGGAAACTGGATACCTCCCCGAAAACTTCCTCCCGGAGTTTCTTGACCTCGTGATCTGGGGCCACGAACATGAGTGCTTGATTGATCCGAAATTGAACCCTGAGACCAAATTTCACGTCATGCAGCCAGGGTCCTCTGTGGCAACATCACTTGTCCCCGGAGAGGCAGTAACAAAACAAGTGTCTATCGTCAGTATCACCGGACGTAGCTTTAAATGCGAGCCGATCCCACTGAAGACTGTGCGACCGTTTGTCATGAGAGAAATTGTCCTCTCCGAGGAGAAGGGAGCTCAAAAGTTGGCTCGGAAAGAAAACAACCGGACTGAAGTCACCCGTTTTCTGATGGCAATCGTTGAGGAGCTCATTGAGCAAGCGAAAAATGAATGGCTGGCGATGCAGGAAGATGTTGAAGAAGATGAGGAGTTAGAGGCGCCCTTGCCACTAGTGAGACTGCGTGTGGAGATCTCCACACCGGAAGGAGGTAGCTATGATTGTGAGAACCCTCAGCGGTTCTCTAATCGCTTCGTAGGAAAGGTGGCAAATGTGAATGATGTTGTACAGTTCTACCGGAAGAAAAAGAACGCAGCAGCCCGCAAGAAAGATGATGACTTCGATGCAACAGCAGTCTCCCACCTCTCAACGCTGGACACGGTGAAGGTGGAACAGTTGGTGCGTGAATTCCTCTCTGCCCAGTCGTTGAGTATCCTTCCACAGAATTCATTTGGGGATGCTGTGGCCCAATTCATCGACAAAGACGACAAGCATGCCATGGAGATGTTCGTGAACGAATCATTAGAAAGTCAAATCAAACACCTCATGGCCCTGGATCGTGACAACGATATCATGGACGATGAAGAAGAGGCGCAGAGCTCGCTACAGCAGGCAATGGAGAAGTATCGAAATCAAATGGAAGACATGTTCTCTCGAGGCGTCAAGAAGAGTTCGCGAGGGAAGAGGCGCTTTAAGCCTAAACCAGATGGCTGGGATACTGAATTCGACGGCGTCTGGGAAGACCAACCTGGGGCGCTTATACATTCAGATAATGAGGGTGATCCCAATGAAGAGGATGCTGCAGAGGATGGCACAGCACCTGCTGCCACGAAAGCAACGTCAACTCGTGGTCGGGGCCGAGGCCGTGGGGGAAGAACGGCCGTTTCTGCGACTACTCGCAAAGCAGCTACCACCGCGAAGACCATATCCACGGCACCCAAGAAAACGGCACCCAAGAAACCTACTAGGGGACGGAAGAAAGCCGTATCAGACGACGATGATGAGGAAGAAGATGTCATCATGCTGGACGATGATGACGAAGATGTAACCCCTCCCGCAGCTCAAGCCCTCTCTGACGATGAAGACGATGATTCCCAATCTCTATTTGTTAAGCAACCTTCAACCCGAAGCCGCAAAGCAGCGCCCTCGACGACCACCACCCAACGTCGAGGACGGACCGCGCCATCCCCGGCACCATCGTCGAATACCATAGGAGGAACCGCTACGCGTAGGTCTGCAACAACACGAGGCAAACAAACCCAGATGACGTTGGATTTTACCGGCTCCCAAATCAGTGCTCGTGAGAGCCAGACCACCTCCAGGTCGACGAGACCGAATCGGAAGACTCGGGCTACGAGTGTGTTGAGCGAGGAAATTGATGATGACAGTGACGCCTTCGAGTCTGCGCCACCCCCCAGAAGGAGGTAGACTTCCTCGTCAACAGGTTCGAAAGAGGAGGTTCCATGCCTTTCATCCGTGGGCACTTCCGGCAGATTATGACACACTTGCATTCATGGCGTTTTATGTACAGTATGGGACAATTTCAATCAATGTGATGAAAACTCAATGCCAAGAAAAGCATCTTTCCTAGATTATCCGCAGGAGGGACATCTGTGATTTAATATACCTAGCTATTGACACAAAGAAAGCTATAGCTGCAGATAGCGACGGACAATTACAGCTTGCCGCGGTTTAAAAACTTGACAGGTAAATCCACCCATTTTGCCCGCAGATACTCGGCAACATTCTTCCCCAGAAAGTCGACTGTAGTTGTCGCGCCAACGCCACGGTCGAGGAGGTTTCGGAACAAAAAGTGTACACCACGGAGGTTTGGAAGCTCGAATCGCTCGATCTGTAGCTGAGGGTTCGACCGGTATTCCTCTCCTAAAAGCTCCTGCGCCTTTGGAATGGAGAGCAGTGAGCGCAACCAAAGGTACTCATCGTTGTGGCGAACCCAGAACCCGCAGTTCGCATCGGGTCCTTTGTCGCCCGATCGAGCATGGACAATCCACCCTAGGGGGCCTCGAGTTGTAGGCCCGAAGTCTAGGTCGCGGTTGGCAGGGGATTCGGTAATCGCCTGTGAAGGCTGACGAGGCGGGAACTCTTGGGTCGTGGGCGGTGGAGGGATGTCCAGCACTTGATTCTTCCACGGGAGGTGCACACGGTGCTTCACATCTGCTTGGGGCAGAAGACTAACATAATACTCATATATGGGCTTTGGGAATCCCTGTCGTGCATCAAGGTGGAAAGTAGCGCCGGGATAGCCTTGCATGATATTGTCGGTGATATGGCGGAGAAAGTTATTCGGGGCGATATCTTCTGCTTTACGAGCTTGGGCAACAATTCGCAAGGTGACAGTGGCGCTGTTTTGGTCTCGAGGGTCGTCTGGCGCTGAACCCAATGTAGAGAATTCGAGAGCTGTGTAGTTGGATGAATATGGGGCGAGAAGGTGGCGAATCTGCTCCTCCAGCATCCGTGCCTTCGCGTCGATGTCCAGCCCAACCAGAAACCATGAAGCCTCTGCTTGGAAACCGCCACGGGCCGTGATACCGACTTTGGTTGTTGGTGGAGGTGGTGCGGATCGGACGCCGTGCACGGCCACACGATTGGTACCGACTTGTTCGAAGTGGATGTCCGTTAGCACAGCAGTAACGTCTGAGTTGAAGTACCAAGGGCCCTGGATTTCGTATAAAAGCTGGGAGGAACAGGTATCGACAGTAACCGCGCCGCCAGGAGCAGAAGATTGCATTGTGATAACCACTTTCCCGTCTGTTGAAATTTCTGCAATAGGATAGCCGATATTACGCCAGCCATCACTGCCAACTTTCTCTAGCGTCTTGAAACCGGTGAAATTGCCTCCACATACATAGTTGCTACATTCGATAAGATGTCCAGCAACAAATGCATTGGCCAACTGATCGAGATCGCTGCGGTTCCACCCATGATACCAGTACGCGGCTCCAATAACAGGGGATGCATCTGACACTCGTCCGCACAGAACAATATCGGCCCCTTGAGACAAGGCTGCGGCAATTCCCAGGCCTCCGAGATAGCACTGAGCATATATTGGCTCGAAATTCCAGTCGGAAAGGGTCTCTCCTGTATAGACGTTTTTGAAGGTTGATTTCCCAGTGGACAAAGCTGTTCTCACTGTTGAGAGAACCTCGTCGCCAGAGACCCAAGCCACCTGGACTATATCAATACATGCAACGTGCAGAGTACTCTAACAATGGAATTACCTTTAGATTTAAGCCCTTGGCCTTGACCATTTTTGTTACCACTTTAAAAAGCCCTTCCGTGTCTGCATTTCCCGCGTTGACCGCTACTTTGATGCCATATTTGGCCAAATCATCTAGGGCTGGCTCCAGAGCCAAAAGAAATGCAAGCTCATATCCCGGTGCAGTTGTCGGCATCGCCGGGGCGTTATTACCAGCTACCTCCTGGGCTTTATCTTGATCTATCCGTCGTGCTGCCCCCGTGACCATGTTCGCCTCGCTCATGAAGTCGGCGATGATGACGTCGACGGGGTCTCGAGGGTAGTTACGAGCGAACTCGGTGATGGCATGTCGACGGTCAGACGTAGAGCCCGAAGCACCTGTAAATAGCTCAGTCAATATTGCCTCTCACGAGGAAGGGATGAATCTAGAAATTGCGACTGACCTGCAATGCGAACCGGACGAGAACTCATGATGTCTTTCAGTGATGTATCTATTTACTACGGGAGCAAGAGGTGAAGAATTTTCTCAACCGAGATGCAATTGATGGGGAACTGGAATGCTTTAAGGGTCATCAAGTGGTCCATCTTCACACTAGTGAATCTGGTTGTCGATCATCCAAACTATGTAATGGCCGAGGAGGACTTTCGGTTGTCGGTTCGCGGATGCGGGGTTCACTGGGCTGATGTATTAATCTGATGAATCAAGGATAGTGGAATAATGCAAGGTATAATTAGCAAACAATCAGCTCAATTGACGTATCTGAACTGAAGTATTACCGGACTGTGAAGAGTAATGAATGATGGTGGAGCTATTCAGCTCTTGCTTGTTGCGGTTTAGTCCATGAGATCACATGTGGATAACAGATTCGATTCAATGTGGGTCACGGGGGCAGGACAGCCCCAGAGTATGCTATGTACTGTGTACGCAGTATGTGCTCTGAACAGCTTGTATCGGTCGAGAGTGTTGTTGGCTGGGAAATCTCATTCTTCTCTTTACATTTAATTCATTTGTCATAGCCTACAGGGATCATATCTGTATCACGTTATCGTGCTTACATGCACACACTGAGTCACCATGCCGCTCGGAGTTCGACGTGGTTTCCGAACCCCCACTTGTGATATATTTAGTGCTAGGGATAGAGAGAGTAGCAATCTGATCACCTCTCACCGACATTACCACTAATAGCCCATTTCCATCCACCACAATGGTTCAATACTTCGAATCCATTTCAGATGATTTTCGTGACTGGGCTTTACGCCAGAGCGTCTTCTTCGTGGCCTCGGCGCCTCTGCGTGGTCGCCACGTGAACCTGTCTCCGAAAGGCCTACCAGACGCCTCTTTCGCCATTCTGGGCCCTAATGAAGCAGCTTACGTAGATGGGCCAGGTTCTGGCAATGAGACGATTAGTCATTTGCGAGAAAATGGCCGTATTACTGTGATGTTCTGCTCTTTTGACAAGTCACCGCGCATTCTGCGACTGTTTTGCACGGGCTCAGTTGTTGAATGGACCGATCCCCAGTTTCCTCAATATTTGGAGCGCATGGCAGGAAAACATCTCATAGGCGCCCGTGCTATTATTCATCTGGACGTTTTTAAGGTTCGTTATTTGCCAGTGATACCTTTCCCGCTCTTACATTTATTGTCGCATACTTCATATACTGTATGCTCATAGTTTGCAGGTCCAAACATCGTGTGGGTTCGGTGTGCCACAGTTAGCTTTGACTCATGACCCGGAGACCAACGAAGTGAAGCCATATCTCAAAGACCGCGAAATGATGGCCTATTGGGCTGGTAAAAAGGTGAGTGCAGGCCAGATGCGCGCGTATCAGCAAGAGTGGAACGCTAGTAGTCTAGACGGGCTTCCTGGTCTTCATTCCGCACTGAGAGATAATCACAAGAGTGTATGGTGGGCACAGTTGGAAGGTTGGATGAATCGCCATCGATATGAGCTGGAAACGACGAAGACTTCAATCTTGCTTTTGTTTGTGGGTATGGCGATCCTGCAGTGGGCTGGGTATATATAGATAGATTGTATATGACAATGTATCTGCTGTATGCGAGAGATGATATGCTACATGATTGATGGTGTTGTCTTGATGGAATTTTTCTTGCTGTTCACTATATCTCTCTATCTTTTTTCACTGAATGTGCAGCCTCAAGGGAGATCGACTTTGAGTATATAAACACAGTTACGCATACTGAAACGCCAATGAGCATCAGGAAGATCATGCGCCTTGTAGACCCCGTAGTGCTATTACGCGCAAGAGCCCTTCCAAAGCAATATTGTGATCTTACCGAAATACTAACAGCCCAGATATCTCCACAATATCATCGATGGTGCCTTGGAGGTGCGGGGTTACCCCGTGAGACGAGCGGAAGAATTTTGACCAATGGGATATCAGAAACGTTGGGAAGCGTTTGGACGAGATATTTACGCGCGCATACAACTCCAAAGCTTGGGCCATACCGACAGCCGAGGTATGAATACTACCGAGCTCACAACATCCATCGTCGTCTTACTGAAATTATTTGGTCAGATGAGTGCTACGTATGCCCATCGCTTTGACCAGGGGTATCCCACTTCCCGTCTGGAGCGCAACGTGCAATGGCCGATATCTTACATCACCTTCAAAAGAAGGACATTCTGTTTCGTGGCCACTTTGGATCATGGAAGTACAGGGCTAAATCACAGGTATGTGGACTATCCAACGTTGCAAGGGGAGATGGTGGGCTGAAAAATCTCCAGTTTGATGTTTGGTGCTGAGGCGGTTGAGCGGCCTTGATGACCTTATCGAACCCAGGCTTTATCAACTCTCGAGCCAACGCCGAGCGTCGTTCGGTGTCTACCATGGGTGTCCGCCAGTAAGTATATAGATACAGCTATGGATGACTGCGGAGGGATCGCTATCCACGGGTCAGTACTTGTATAATTGGGTGCGTCTCACCAATACTACTCAGCTTCAGCGCAGGCATAACTATGTACATGAACTTTGTTGTAGACTTTTTCTAGTCCTTGAATTTGATAAATACCTAAAGTAAGCATAAACGTAACAAAATACTTCCTGTAGCTTCAGGGCATACGGACAACCCGGTCTGTACAAGGGGAGAATACTGCCTCAGGAAAGAAACTGAAAACGTGATACCGACACAGCACACCAGCTAGAGTCAAACCGGCACTTCAGCTCTTCCAACAGACCAACTACAGAAGCCATCGAAGCATCGGATGGACGTATAAGGTCATATATAAAACTGATTTCACTGCACGATTACCTTTGTCGAATCCCGACCAAAGATTAATGGTTACTTGGATGAAAATGATTTGAAGACCTACTTCGGATATACAACGTGTACACTGTTCATGTGTATCGAACTCTGTGGTTCCGCTGCACGCGGATGGTCTGTTCTTTAAGCTTTACAAGTCTCACCGGGACAAGTATGGGGTTGACGTGGTATGCGGGGGATAAGCCTTGTTTGTCGGCCAAATGGGAAAGCCCTCCCAGCCACCCAGCATCAACACCAAATAAAGTCGAGCCTCTCTTCGTGTTACAGTCCCTATGCACGATGAGGTGAGAATTCAAATCCCGTCCGTCTGAGTACGAGCCGAATATCTGATAACTCCAGTAACCCGAGAATACGGCGGGATCGGATTGCAGGGATTAGAATCCTTCAAGACAAGAGCCCTGGTGGTCCGATCTGAGATGTGAACGCACCCGATGAAGATGTAAAAATGCGGACTTATCGCAGTTCATGACCTGTTGAGCACGATGGTTAAGGCTGGGTGGCATTCAAGGTACGGGAGCTTGTTTAGGGAGGGTTGCATATCGGGTGAACCTTGGTCCTCCAAGGTTTGAAGCTTAACGCTCCGTCATGTTAGCTATTGTTAAATTTATTACTTGCTGTTCCAGACCCTCCCTCCTCGCAAACCTCGCAAGCCATGCTCTTAAATGGCGTCCTATAGTTCCGATGCGGCCCGAATGAAACTCCCGAGTCAGCTGATTGGATGATCGCCAACTAGTCATCCATGCCGCGGCGAGGAGTTTGCGATTGATCGTCTACCATTTCTGTACCGGTCACGTGGTAACATACATAACAGGAACAGTAACTACTAATGCTAGATCCCGTCTGATGTACATACCAGTACATATATGCGACCTGCAATGACCGAGGTCATTGATTGGACAGAGGGGACGTGGCTGGAGGTGTTTCATTGGACTGCACCTCCGTCCTGGAAATTTAGAGCAAAAGTCCTAAAAGTCGCCGGCGGGAAGGAAGTTCGCCCGGTCCAGTGGAGACGGAGGGGACTTGGCACCCTCCCAGTCAAACACTATGTCTCATGACGGGGGTGCAGCCTGGTTACCTAACGATTATGCAGATGGACCAGTATCAGCCCAGGAATGTCAACTCACTATTTGGAATATCGATAGCATGTTGCCCCAGAGGCTCCGTCACCAAAATCATATTTTTCACTGATTCCACAATCGTTCATTACCAAAGTACGGGCTACAGGTACTGGGAGACTACCTCCCAGACTACTTTGTTAGGTGCAGGAATGCTAGTTTCTGCTTCGACCTACCAAATGCAAGCAAAGGCTGCCAACAACCCCGGGTCTGGACCAATCTTTACCCCATTCAGTAAGACTTTCGCCCCATTGATTTGTCGTGATTAGTGAGCTGCGTTCTGGAGACGCTTGTTGGAGACCAAGACGAGAGCTAGTTGCCAGTAGGGGATACCGAATGAGGAGAATGGATAGAGTGATTAGCGACTATCGACTCCGTACTCCAGACGTCTGCATAGAAGTAATTTGCTGTATTTGTTTGCCACGTTGGGATTGCTGAAAATGCGTTGGCGGGGGTACTAGGCTGCTGACGATATAGCGGGGCAGCATTTCCCCTGTATCAACCCTAATTCCTCCGCGACCATGCGAGTAACTTGCGGACTTGCTTAAAAACTTGTTTTCAACACCATACAGAACCCCCACGTGGATCTTTTATAGTAGAGTTTTATGAACCGCGCAAGGTGCACCGGGGGAACCAGACAGAAAGAAAAAATAAAAATAAATAAATTGGAGAGATGATGCAATTTCACGGAGAGCTCCTGGTGCGTCAGAGCTGGTGGGAATCCATGGACTGGGAGGGTCAGACTAACACGAAGACGTTGTATCAAAACGGATAGGGTACCAAATTTCCAGAGACCGGAAGTGGACCGGCCAGGCCGGGGATAAGCGCTGACTGGCCTGAGGAACCCCGCACGATCGTCTGGAAAGACAGCTACGGTGGGGTACTGGTGGATCCCCTATCATCAATACAGCCTCGGGCCCTGGCCCCTCAGCCAATCGGGGCCCGGGATGGCAGTGGGATTACTGAGCCTGACCGGTAAAATTACGGGCCACACTACAGGCTTCCCCTCCTTCTTCGGTGTTATCACTGTCAACGGTCGATGATTCCCCCTCCTTGCTTTGTTTTTTGGGTAAGTTGAGTTCTTTTTGTGATTTTATTTTTATTTTCATTTCTAATCAATTCATTTCTTATTTTTCTTTTTTGTTTCCGCTTCCCACCTTTTCCCCTCCTGACCCCCCCCATTCGGTCCTGTCCATTCGCCATACAATTGAAAGCTATTAATACCGTGGGATCTCCCCCTCCTTTGCCTGGCACCGTTGTTTCTTCTCCTCATCTCCCCTCTAAACATCTCTCTCTATACCAACACCCCACTCCTTCTAGTGATACCCCCTTTCTCGTTTCTTCATCTCCTCCGTCACCATGGCCGACCTTTTCACCACCATCGAGACCCCTTCGGGCAAATACGAGCAACCCTTGGGCCTGTATGTCATCCCGCCACCCTTGCCATTCTCGCTCAGGGAGTCCTTGCTAACATAAGGTTGCCGCTTAGGTTCATCAACAATGAGTTCGTCAAGGCCAAGAGTGGCCGCACGTTCGAGACCATCAACCCCACCAACGAGAAGCCAATTGTAGCCGTCCAGGAGGCGGACGAGAATGATGTCGAAGATGCCGTCAAGGCTGCCCGTGCTGCCTTCGAGGGCGAGTGGAGGAAGGTGACACCCTCGGAACGTGGCCGCCTGCTCACCAAGCTGGCCGACCTCTTCGAGCGTGATATCGACATCCTGGCTGCTATTGAATCCCTTGACAACGGCAAGGCCTTCACCATGGCTAAGGGTGACGTTGGCGCCGCCGCCGGCTGCCTTCGCTACTACGGTGGCTGGGCTGATAAGATTCACGGCCAAACCATTGATACCAACCCAGAGTCTCTTACCTACACCCGCCACGAGCCCATTGGTGTCTGTGGTCAGATCATCCCTTGGAACTTCCCTCTTCTGATGTGGTCCTGGAAGATTGGACCTGCCGTCGCTGCCGGTAACGTCGTCGTCCTCAAGACCGCTGAGCAGACTCCCCTGTCTGGTCTCTATGCCGCCAAGCTCATCAAGGAAGCTGGCTTCCCTGCTGGTGTCGTTAACATCATCTCTGGTTTCGGCCGTGTTGCCGGTGCTGCTATCTCCAGCCACATGGATATTGATAAGATTGCCTTCACTGGTTCGACTCTGGTTGGTCGTATGATTCTCCAGGCCGCCGCCAAGAGCAACCTGAAGAAGGTCACTCTGGAGTTGGGTGGCAAGTCCCCTAACATTGTCTTTGACGATGCCGACATCGACAACGCCATCTCTTGGTCCAACTTCGGTATCTTCTTCAACCACGGCCAGTGCTGCTGCGCTGGTTCCCGTATCCTGGTCCAGGAGGCATCCACGACAAGTTCGTTGCCCGCTTCAAGGAGCGCGCCGCTGCCAACAAGCTCGGCAACCCCTTCACGGCCGACACCTTCCAGGGCCCTCAGGTCTCGCAGCTGCAGTTCGACCGCATCATGGAGTACATCGACCACGGCAAGAAGGAGGGTGCTACCGTTGCCACCGGTGGTGAGCGTCACGGAACCGAGGGTTACTTCATCCAGCCTACCGTCTTCACCGATGTCCACAGCGACATGAAGATTGCCAAGGAGGAGATCTTCGGCCCCGTCGTCACCGTGCAGAAGTTCAAGGATGAGGAGGAGGCCATCAAGATCGGTAACAGCACCTCGTACGGTCTTGCCGCTGCCGTCCACACCAAGAACGTCAACACTGCCATCCGCGTCTCCAACGCCCTCCGGGCCGGAACCGTCTGGATCAACAACTACAACATGATCAACTACCAGGCTCCCTTCGGTGGCTTCAAGGAGTCGGGTATTGGCCGTGAACTGGGCTCCTACGCCCTCGAGAACTACACCCAGGTCAAGACTGTGCACTACCGCCTGGGTGACGCTCTCTTTGCTTAAATGAAATTTATGATGAAATAATGAAATATTTTACCCGTTCCATTTTGGCGATGGCTTTGATCTTTGTCATTTCATGTAAACATAGGATATGAATTCACGATGAAATTGTGACTACCTACTACTTTGAACCGTAACACTAGTAAGAAGAGTATGACCAATAACGTAGACCAGACTAAAGAGGCCATCAGTCTTTCCAGAACAAAGTTGTAAACTGAATATATGCCGTTCGGTCGGTAGTGCATGAACCGAAGCTAATGAATCTTGTCTCCATACTTCGCTCGTCGATACAAGTGCCGACATGCCGCGGGGTCAAGGTCCTCGGGTCAAATCCACCCCGAGATTCCTCTCGGGGGGTGATACACCGAAAGTGCCGGACAACCCAAACTTCTGCTCCAGATCCATGAACACAATGATAATATCCCGAGACATTCAACAATGCTTTATTATCTCCACTTCAAACCATGTAAATCCGGTAATACACCTAGTATAATATATCCGGTAATCAAACTCTAAACTCCATACAAGCGTTGAGTAAACATTATAATACACCCGCGAATAGGCGATGTTCTCGATAGTGGCTTGATCGGCAGTGCAGCGCCGATGCGTGTGCATACTAGTTTAATAGGATTGTTATGAATCTAGAGTTTGTGAATGGTGTTATATGACTCAGGTTCATGTCATTGTTACTTTAGGGAAGGGGTACTCTGTCACCCTGTTCACTCTATCACCCTCTGACTCTGTTTGATTACCCTCATAGGGAATGGCGAAGTGTATTAGGTTAGAGTTAGCAGTGTATTGCATACTCGTCTGACTAGAAAGTAGTTGAGTAGTTGAATTGACTATGACTGGGGTAGACTTTCTCTGAGAGTGTGTAAGGATACTAAGGGAATTGAATGCCTAATGCTTCCGAGCGGTACATGTATGGACTTTAGTGGTGCTCGCAGATGATCTGCGAGGAATGCTAGTGTATGACCGTCGGCCTCTTAAGGTGGATGGATTCCTTACACAGTAAGCATTTTATATTCCCTTCAGTCGCCCGTCCCGTCACTGAAGGCCATCCCGCATAGATTGACAGTATGCTAAACCCCGCAACGGCCGCCAAGCTGCTTTGTCTTTCAAGTGTCTCTTCATGTGCAGATTTCTCATTATCATTGCACTTATTCTTGACCGGGAATAGAGCCTACTACTTCTGGATGTGATTTGTCATAGAATTCCCTATCCAGATGCTTTCTCAAACCACACACACACACACACACTCTCTCTCTCTCTCTCTATATATACCCATAGCGCAAGTTTCTCTTCTATTCCAAAACCCCTACTCAAACCTCGCATACAGTTCCCACACCAAATCCACAGACGTAAGCTGACTCAAATCAAGCCCCTGACCATTCAGCAACTGAATCATCCACTGAGTAAAAAACAGTCGGATACGCATGGTTGTGACTTGGATGGAAAGTTTGTTGGTGGAGAACTTACATCTTTGGATGACACTGTTTGCGTGAGTACTGGGGTTGAATTTGTTAGTGGGGTTCGCTGTGAAGGGCGGAGACTGTTGGCAGAGGTAGAGAGGCTTAGGCTGTAGGATTCGGTCATACTTGGAGTTGACGTCGTTGTTCATCGCGTCATCAACTGGCAGTACGGACATCACCATTGTTTTGTCAGTCACGTACTATCGCGCCTGGGAACTGGAAATATGACTACACTTGAATTGTATTCCTTTCCTCTCTGACATCCACTAGATCCAGTCTGACAGAGATCATGCAGTTTTCATGTCCAAAAATCATCTGGCAAACCAATATCACCGTGACGGCAACCGATCTGACCAATGCCATTCAAGTGAAGGCGCATAAGCTGAAGTTCGGGAGTAGCACTTTCTCCAACAATAAGGTAGAAAGGCATCAAAGCCAAACACCAGAGTGTAAAGGACGAACTCGTGCATCAATTTCAGAATATCTCGTTTATGAGGTCGAGAAAAGTCTGGAGAAGGACCTCAACACCGCGGCGCGGTTCGCGATTCCCAGCAATGCGGCATTGTCGTATGAAAAGCCCGTTTTCAACAATAATGGGGATTTGATGATTGTTGGCCAATTACATCGTATAGTAGTGTGCTCGATGGCTTGTTGTCGAATCGGGGCGCAGCAATGGTGAACCATTTTTAGATTGAGCTTGAGATGCGTGTTATTTGTTAGTTGAAGGTCAGATTGCTCAATGGATGCGGCTTCTCTTGCCGGGTTTTCGTCTGTACCTTTCATACTGTATGAGATTGGTAGAAGGAAAGGTTCTTGGTGGACAGAATCACTAGAGCCAAGGGACTATAGCCATTGTTTGTTATCCGGTAATTAACATAACTTTTATTAGCCGGAGGGAATGAGATATCAGTATAGGTTTAGTTCTGGGTATCAGATTAGGGCTACATATGCTGAAAGGGCATTACTAGAAGGAAACGGTGGCCATTTCACCGGGGCGGAATTTTAATGCAGAAAATCATGTTTATCTGGCCGTTACATTGATATACATTTAAGCTGACTATACATACGGACATGGAGACGTCAAACCAGGCACTCTAGCGTGCATCTCAGCCAGGGCAAATTATGCAACGAGGAGGTCGTGCCCGTCCCCTATTCGGAATGGCCGTGGGGGCCCTCCATGCCCTCTTCCGTCGGCGGACCGGCGTAGTTCTGATAACCCCACACCCAGTACCATATCGCCGAGATGATGAAGAAACCGACGAAGACGACGGAGGCGTAGTTCATGGTCTCTTGGGTGACGTCCATGAATGTGGGCATGGAGAAGAGCGGGATGGCGAGACAGGTCCATGCTGCATTGGGCATCGGCAGAGATTAGAATTTCGTTTATGGATGGAGGGCCTGGGATTATCGGAGGGTAGAACCAAGTCCACTTACCGAGACAGACGATATTACAGAACAGACCCAGGGGGCCGAGGTTGAAGCTGCAGTTCTTGATATCTTGGCGCTTTCGGAGAAGGAGGGAGACCGCAATTGGGCAGGCGTAGCTGAGGGTTAAGAACATGACACCGACACCGGAGAAGGCATTATATGCGGCCGTGGAGCCGAAGTAGATCAGGCCGAGCAGGAGTTCGATTACCATGCCGAGGAGCATCGCGTTCAGGGGGATGTTGTCGAGGCGCGGCTCGACCTTCTTGAACCACTTGGAGCCTGGGATGGCTCCGTCGCGGGCGAAGGCCCAGACGCTTCGGGATGCCGCGGTTACGCAACCTACACCGCAGATGATGCCGAGGATCAACAATGGGATGAGCAGGCAGAAGGCGCCGGCGGAGTTGCCGGTGGCGGCTTTGAAAATGGGCGGCACGGGTTGGCCGGAGGGGAGATTCGCCAGGTAGGAGATATCGGGGAGGACAAACGCGATGGGGATCAAAAAGGCGAGACCGGCCAGGGCGTTCAGGGTGAGGCCGCCGACGATCGCTTTGGGAACTTGGATGGCTGGCGCGCGGACTTCTTCACACATGCTGATGCGGGACAAGGTTAGTATGGGCTTTGTTTTTTTCGCGACGGGCATAGAGGTTGGCAAAGGCCTACGAGGTGATCATGCCGGTGGCCGAGAGCGCGTAGGCAGCCTGCAGTAAACCGATACAGAAGGACCAACCGTCTGGCCAGCCGGATTGCGGGGAGAAATCGGTGAAGACATATTTGGCAGAGTGTCTGCCGTTACTGGCAACGACCAGAATGGTGATGATGATGGCAGTCACGCCTACCAGGGTCCAGAAGATGGCAAAGGTCTATAGGTCGAGTATACAAGTGTGATTAGTAACGTGGGCATGGAGGTCTAAAACAAGGAAGGGTCAAGTCTGCGCTGCAATGATAGCTTGATATACCTCCAGGTGTGTCAACCACTTATTCCCAAAGGCAGGAATGACATGGCAGACGAGTGTAATGCCTAGAAAGATCAGATAGGTCTGATAGGCCTGAAAGTCTTCTGTGATACCGACACCTGCAGCGTCGGTAAACACATTGAGACTCTCAATCAGAAACAGCGCCGTGGCGAAGTTCACAGCCAAGGTGATGGTGATGTTGCCGGCAATAAAGGACCAGCCGCAGATCCAGGCGGCCACTCGGCGATACTTAACGGGGGACAGGGCAAAGGTTTGGTAGTAGACACCACCGGCGGTGGGATAGACGGATGTCACCTCGGCGAGCGATGCGGCGACACACAACATGATCAGGGATACCAGGATCCAACCCCAGATCATATTGGCCGAGCCGCCTCCGGCAATGGAGTACAACATGGTCGTCGAGAGACCGTACGGCACGGAGGCCAGAATGAAAACCATGAAGACTACCTGCCATGTTGATCGATTGCGCGACAACTCTGGCGTGTATCCGAGAGCTGCGAGGTTGGAATCTGCGGTGATCTTGTCCACCGTGGGCGGGTCCATGATGGGATGGCTAGTCTTGGGAGACTAATTAACGTGGATATCGGTTAGACGTCGAAGGACAATTTAGGTGCACTGGGCGTAATGAGGCGCTATGGGTCAATCGCATAAAGGCTGTTGAGGGGCTTCCTTTTTCTCGGGATAAATAAGGAAGAAAAGGATTCACAGTGGACGACGAGGGCCAAAAAGAAAGGAGCACGTGGCCGAGGAACGTCAGAAAATGTTGTGCTTTTAAATAAAACGAAAAAAGGAAAAAGGGTCGACGAGACGGCCAATACGCCAGTCCGATTGCAGGAGACGAATCGCCGTGGTGACTAATGGACCAGGGTGGCCATGAAGGGCGACGCTGACTGGCTCTTCGGCCGGAATACGAATTTCCTTTTCCCCAGAATGTCTGTAGGTTATTGCCCTAAACTGGAAAAGGAAACCGGGTGGCACCAACAGACTTTAGACTAACGCCGAGTGGCAACTTCACACTGCCACCACCCCACAAAGCGGGTCACCGCCTACGTAAACCGGTAGGCGCCAATCTTATCTCGGAAGAGACCGTCCAGGGTGGGAATTCCCCAGGCAGAAAGATTGGCGGCGGGAGGGGCAGGTAGTATTCGCGTGTCAGATAATCACAAAGCTACAGTCGGCCGCGCGACTCCTGGCCATTGCAATCCAATTCACCGGCCGATCGTCGCCCTCCAGCCGCCAAAACATCCTTAAAAAGGACAAAACTCGCCGTCGTTCCAGACTGCCGCTGAGACGAATCACCCCCAAAAGCGCCCGTTCGATGGCGTCCTCCTGATCCGGGGAACGACATTCCGTCCCACAGACGAACAGTGGCCAGACCAGGTCGTGCGCGAAATATGCCCGCTCCATGAGGTGCGATAAGTGTTCGAGAATCGCGTCTCGAGAAGCCCGAATGAGGTCGTTGGATGAACCGAAGTCAGAGAGCACACGGTGGCTGTAGATTAAACTCGCATGGTAATACATGTGTGTCAAGTGTTCGAAATCGTGTCGCGCGTCGGGATATTGAAACCGCATGATCTGATTCAGCTGGAGCGCTCGACCTCTCGCCGTTTCAATTTCGTCCACGATATCTTCCACCCGTGTCGTTTCGATATCGGAACTACCACTAAACTTACGTCGCTCCGCTCGGGTTACAGAGTGCATGATCCGGACAAAGTCACCAAAAACGGCAATTTTGTCGTGAATTGGGATATCGTCAATGACATCGTAGGTGGCATCAAACGTGGTCAAGCCGTTGAAGACGGCGGTGAAGTAGTACTCATAACGGAGAAAATTATCGGCGACGTCGGGGGGTAGGTGACGTCCGATCGCCTGAAGCTTCCATTGTATGATTGCTCGAGCCCCCTGGATGTGTAGTCGCCGTTGCGTGGCCTTGGCCGCGCAGAGCTCGAGGTTGTAGAGAAGGAGGACTGTTGCCAGAGCGAACCGTGCCTGATTCGCACAATCAAACGACACGGGGGCTTTCAAAAGACGTTCTAGATGTTGTGGTAAGAGGGATAAGACTTTGTCCCGGTAATACAGCGACTGCGCTTTCAGTTGATGGAAGTACGGCCGGTCGATGGTATATTTATGTGTGAGATCCTCCGACGACATGGCCAGCAAGGAGTAGCGCACGATCGGCGAGGCATGGGACAGGGGGAGTATAATCTGTCGCCACGGGTTTTCTGGGCCGTCCACCCAGGCAAGCTTCGTCGCAATGTTTTGGTTGAAATGATGCAGCAATGGACCAGAGACACTATCCAGTGGGGAGCTTGGTCCACGGTCTACTGGTGTCAGAGACACCACCTCACGTAGGGTCCGGTCTGGGTCTCTGGGGTCGCCAGCAACCGGTCCATCTCCTGCCAGTCTCCCTCTACTGGGGATAGCTTGCTTCCAGCGCAGAATTAGTCCATAGCCGGGACATTCGTAATTTCGGCGCAAGCACTTTCGGCAACCGGGCAAGGTCCTATCACATTGGATTCGGCGCGATTTACATTTCGGACAGTCTACCGGGCCACATTATTGGTTGGTGAGACGTTCTGGGAAATATTTTCCCATGGGGTTCATCGTTACCTTTAGACGCAACGTTCATCGAAGGGGCGGTCATACCCGGATTGATATCACCCTTGAAGTTGAGACGAAGGGAGCTGTGATGGTTTGAGCACGAACTGATCGTCCGCTATCAGTCGAGAAGTCCGAGGGGCAGAAGAGATGAGACTTTGGTTAATGGCATATACGCTTACAAACCCTGCTTATCTAATTCCGAGTGAGGCCCAAACTACTGTGGCATGGAGAGAGCAAGAATGGACACGGATATCATCGCTGTCCAGGGAGGGGATTCAGTCCAAGACCTGTTAAGCCTGCGGCCGTACAAGTTTTGCAGGGCTCACCCACCAGTTTTTTGCCGATGAGAAGCCTTGTCGGAAGGCTTGACGGTTGGTGGATCCAACCATCACGCAAAAGGTAAAAATGCCTGCTTGGCTTCCTGTTTGGACACTTGGCATGTCTCCACCGATCCCCGAGATGGACGCGTGGAGCGCCAGAAACACCTTCATACCTGCACAGTTACAACAGGAAACCAGCCATACTAGTAGAAGATCTATTCCTCCTGATATGCACAGACCATACTAGCTCCCAGAGGCTGCCCATCGAGTGATCTATTAGTACATAGTGCAAGCTTTTCCCCGGGTGCCCTTCCCGATCTTTCACTCCTGCTCGACAAAGTATTTCACCACCACCTCGATGATATGCTATGGAGGCCTGGGGGTTACGATTGACTGTGCCAACCACCCATACTCTGATAGAGTCAGGTGGTGACTGTCATGCTCCGCCGATCACCGGCTCTATTGCCATCGCCGTTCCCTCTTCTAGCTTAACATCTTCCACGGAGAATTACCCCCAGTTCGAAATTAGTCTTACACGATCGGTGACACCCAAGCCCCCTGATGTCGCGGTCCCCCGCACCAATAAGAGCTATAGTTTTTTCTTTAAACGCAACCCGAAGCCCAAGTCGTCAACAATCCAGGACTCTCCCCATGCAACCACATCCCTGGAGCCCACCGTTGAGACGCTAGTACAATATAACCTCTGCCATGCCCCGGATGAGATAGATCCCAAAGAGGACGAGGATGAGACATGGCTGAGGTTCAATTTCTACCTCCCTGTGCCAAGCAATATCCCGCCGACGACGGAGACCATCCTAGGGAGCGTGTCCTATGCGATCACTGCCACGGTAACCTCCACGATATCCGGCACAAGGATATTGAAAGACACGCAGCAAGTAAAGATGTCCCGCCGTGTGGTCTTGGAGCCAATCCGACATATCCGACAGTATCCGGGCGAAAGGGTCCTAACGGAATTATCCCTGATACCCACTCAACTATACTCAGACTCACCCGAGGAGACGAAAGTAGCATACTCACTAGAATGGCTGGCCCATTCTACCATTGCAAAGGGAGCGCGAGACATGGAAGTGAAATATCTGGTGGGCAAAGAGTTGAGGTGGAGAGTAGAAGAGACCGTCAAGTACCTCGCTATCGCGCGGGGCGGTGGCTCACAAAGAGACGCAGTCACGACCACCTGCAAAGAGCAGCGCGTACGGCAATTATGTGAAGGGAAACAAAAAGGCCACTGGATAGCCAGTGGGAGCTTACAAGGAGGCGACCATACGATTGAGATTCCATTTGACATCAACATTCCCGCCAAAGTGAGGGCAGCAGATGGAATAGGGCTGCCTTCATATCTATGCCATCACGAGGAGAAGACTTGCGATTGCAGTCCGAGCCAAACAACCGGTGTCACAGTCGAGCATAATCTGATTCTGGAAGTGATCACGGGCCAGGATACGTTTGACGAGGCAAGTGGAAGACTTGTCGATCGCAGGCCCCGCATGAAGTCCTTCAATGCCCTTTTCCCTTTTTCGATTCAGAATTTCGTCAGTGGGGACAGTCTTTCGCTTAGCGAATTCTATGTGGACGATACTCTGCCAAGATATAACGATACGTATCTACGGCCACCTCAATATGCCACTGCCCATTGAAAGATCGTCTTGTTTGGTTTCCAGGCGGTTCATACGTGTCCCTGAAGGAAAGGGATGCTCGCCAGAGGAAATACCACCAAGTCTTTGGATGCTATGTGATATTCTGTGGTGAAGTGGAGCTTCCTTGCAGTTTTTCATTCTTATTCAAAGTGTTATTACTTAATCTAGATATACCCATTGTTAATGAATGTTCCTTTCATCTTGAAAACGCAGCGTTGGCAACAATATAATGAATTGCCCTTAGGCAGAGACTGCTCCAGTACCTCCTGTTGCTTCCGTTGAGCACAACTGTCGAAGAACTTATATTCCCAATGTATTAGTACAACTATTAGACGTAGTTTTTCAACATTTGACAGTACTATTAGGATACTATTTTAGAGCTAATATTAGATAAAATCTACTTATTATTATAAAAAGCCAAATAAAATGGACAATAACTTCACATTGCAAGAGTGAAGATTTTTCAATAGTTCGGCTGGATTTCGACGTTCTTCAACCTCCCAAATTAGACGGCTGGTGAGTGAGCTTCCTGATGCCCGTATAATCGACCAAACAACTCTGCCTGCTCATAATGCCACAATAGAAGCGCATCGATCATATGAGTGGCATTGTTTGGGTCACGGCAGACGGGGTGAAGGACCTTCCCATGGTACTCCCAAGCTTCCGGTGTGAAGCTTTGGATCCTGTACCCATCGTTTGGGTTAACGGCAAATGAATAATCACCCCGCAAGGGCGTGAATATCGGTGCGAAGCAAAATTCCGTTCTGGGGCGAGTCTATACCTGGGGGATGATTGTATGTGATCAGATCTGCGAACCCATGGCTCTGAAATATACTGTCCAGTGCAAGTGGGAAAATATGTGCGGCTTGATACGTCGTCCATCTGCCCACGTGTTGCTTCACGGTTAAGCTGACCGGTTACAACGCAGCGGCCGTCTCGCGTACGAACTTGCTCTCGGAATGCATCATCTCTGTTTGTTCCTGACCTTGAAAGCGTACGAGGGTGAAAACGAGCATCCGTCGTAACCATGGTTTCTCCTGGAATGCAGGGCGTAAGAATATCACGACCATGTTGGATCCTTGCGTTGGTAGGCCTCAGGGCACCCGTGAGCGATATCGACGCGTCTCAAAGCCGCCAACTGCGGAAAAGAGGATCTGTAACATGTCTAAGAACTGTTTCGCGGTGAGATTATTCGCGGCCGCAATGCCTCCCTGGATAACGCCAGCGCCGACGAGAATTCGACCCAGGTGTTTCTCAGCTGTGCGCGTGCTGTGGTCATATTGGATATCCGTGTAATCTATCCAGGGCTTCAACAGAAAGGCTTCAAGGAAAACACCTGGAGAGAAGTTTTAGGTTGTCGACCATATTAAACCATAACTACTATATAGCTATGAATTGTTCGTCACTCTCTACAAAAAGAATCGTACTGGAGGAGATCGTCCGGGTAGAAAAGGAAAATAGAAGCATTCAAAATATGGCAATTTCATAGTGCCATTGCAGCAGTGCATCAATGGCACGCAAGTGTTTGCATGGCTGTCGGTATACTGGGCCGAGTGAGTAATGCGCTCGCGGTAGGGTGTCAAGGCGTAGTTGGTATTGGACGAAAGTCCATGGCTAGTTTCTATCCTGTTTTGCCCTCGATGTCATGACGTTGATGCGACGCGATGAGGCCAGGAAGCCCAGATAAACTCTGTTTTTTGTGAGCATGACGATTACGGTGTCCCCCCTCGGCCCCTTGTACGCCTTCGACGGCCTGGATGCATGCCATGTGTAATTAGAACTGAGAGGCTCCCTATAGGAGGCTGTATAGTTTATCCCCGGCAGAGTATTATACGTTGCTCAGATTTACGAATCCGTGGCTTTGGAATATACTTCCCAGAGCACGTGGGAAGAGATGTCCTGTTTCCCAGTAAATTCCACCCGCTCACGCGTGCTTGAACATTGACCTGGGCAGTGATAACGCACTGACCATCTCGCTGGCTAACTTGGTCAGACAACTTGACTGCTTTTATCAACTGCTATAGTGGTTATCGTCACAGGGATTCTCTTTCCATCGATGAAGAGATTAACAGCTCGTGGGACGTCTTCTCTGTAGCTTCGTTTGGCACTCAGGGGGCACGCATGGAGCGACGCTGGGCGCTAGTGATTATTTGGGCTCCTGGCTTGCCCAGCGGTAGGAATATAACGGCCATGTTGAATCTATGGAGTGATAGCTCACAGAGGTACTTAGAGCCCTGCAACCGAGGCTCGAATCACCCCCTTGACGAGGTAATCATAGGGTTTAACAGGTCTAGAAGCTGTAAGGCTGTGAGATTCCCTGAGGCACGTAGACCGCATTGAGTCTTATTGAGTGTAGCTGGAAATTAGACCCAGAGATTCAGGATAGGAGACCTCGCTCAGACTACCCCTTTAAATATGGCGGTCTTTCAGGCCAGCATTGGGAAATCTATAGAGATAGTTGGGAAGGGGGTGAAGAAGCAAGCAGAGGAATGACAAGTTTAATTCTACCATCTGCTTCTATGCATAGAGTTAAGTCTAAGGAGGGAATCAGCGTGGCTATTTAATTCATCGATTGTAGGTAATACTTCTGGGAATATCATGTATCGGGCCGTCAATAGGATCTCCGTATGACTTACCAAGCCCATCAGTATTATAGCATGATAGTATCTGCGAGGGAGAGATAGCATTTACCATGGGGCGAACAATCAACCCTAAATCAAGGACTTGGCTTAAGTCTAGACCGCCTCTATCGCCATTGCCTCAGCTAGGCGTGGTGGCAATGAAGTCAAACATCTCACGATCCTCCGTAACTGCGGCGCTAACTTTATATGCGCACGTATATACGCTGCGCAGTTAGAATCCGGATCCGCCGGGGTTACGATGACTGAGAGTTCTATTCCCACTAAGTATTCACCAAACCCTAATATACCTCCGATATGGAGTATTGGTTGCTTTCCTGCAAGTGTCTCAAATCTAAATTATTACTAAACTATACTTGTTCGGGTTATGGCTTCTCTCACATGGGTTGAACGGAAGTGATTCGGCGGGCGGAATTCACTCGCCTGGATCAATAAGAGGTTACTTGAGAACGGTAGAAGTCTACAGACGACCAGCCGTCCCGGGAATTGCGAAATCCGACTGCCAAGGATGGATTAGAAATCCGCCTAGGAGTGAAGTTCTTGGGGATAACAATATCACCGGCTTCGCCGGCAGCTGTTTCCTCCTTAAACATGGCCACTCATACATCGATCTACGACGCTACCGGCCGCGCTTGCATGTAGATCACTTATAGTGAGATGTTTATTCTAATGAAAGTTATAGCTCGGGGGAGCCAAGATTATCAATCACCATGTATAAACGGATGGCGGAACTTGGCTCCTCCCGAATAATGAATGCATCTTAGCTGTGAATATACTAGTAATGTCTGCCGATATCACTTTGGGAACGCGCCTGGGTTACTATTTAAATCATGAACACACTTGCTGGAGCTTTTCTCGCCATTATCACGCACGGCATATCCGAAGCACATCTACGTTCGTGATCCTACTTTGCTACCCTGACAGCCCGAAGCACCATGGACTACGAAAACCTCCCGGACGACTACTTCCTGACGGCTGGCGCATTCACCAAGAAGCTCTATCGGGACCAGTATCCCGCCATTGATCCTACCTTGCCATCCCTGTCACAGCAGGGAAGAGTGGTTGTGATCACCGGCGCGAGTTCAGGCCTAGGTGCTCATGTAAGTTGCTCTTGTGTGGCACCTCTCTCGTACACCTTCCTTACTCAAAGGTGTCTAGGGGTTCCCAATCTCATTTGCCAAAGCCGGGGCAAAGGCCATCTGGCTCGTCGCTAGAGATAAGCAGGGCCTGAAGGCGACCAGACAGCGTGTTGTAGCAGTAGATCCCTCCATAAAGGTTCGGGCGATATCTCTCGACGTCTCCGACGAAGTCGGCGTTGCCCGGGTTTTCGACCAGATCAAGTCGGAAGACGGAAAAGTCGATGTCTTGATCAACAATGCGGGTCTTTCACGGGGTGGTCCGATTACCTCTACCGCAATAGACGGCATCTGGAAGGATTTCGTAAGTTGTGCATTGCATTCTCGACACCGTATATAATCAAGGCAGACGCTAACTAACGCCATAATAATACTTTCAGGAGGTCATGGTTAAAGGAACCTTCATAACAAGCCAATACTTCACCAAACTACTAGGGCCGACGTCAAGGGGCTATATTATCAACGTCTCAAGCATAGTAGCCGTGCTTGCGATGCCAGGAAGTGATAGTTACGCCTTGTCAAAGATGGTTCAATCCGCAATGCAGCGCTACATTGCACTTCTGAATCCGAATATCATTGCGACGAGTCTTCATCCGGGAACGGTCGCGACTAATATCGTCCCGGAATTCTTTTCGAGATTTGCAAAGGACACGCACGACCTTGCTGCCGGCACTGCTTTGTGGCTTGCGAGTGAAGATGCGCAATTCATGAATGGGCGGTATATGTCTGCGAATTGGTCCGTGGAGGAAATGGTGGAGCGTCGGGAGGAGATTGTGGAACATGACTTGCTCAAGTTTGACTTGAAGATTGCGCCTTATGCTACCTAGATGGGAGTTTATAGGGTTCCTATATGGTTTCTAAGATTGACGGTGCTTGGGTTTGTTTATGGGTGCCCATTTCAGACTTTGATATAGAGCATGGACAATACATAGTACTATGGTTCATGCAAAGCACATACAATGAAATATACTACTACGAGAAGATAGAAGTAGCTGAAATGGCTTAATTTTACGTATGAAAGACTCTGATAAAGCAGTGCATATATTACAGATAATAATTTATCATATAGGTCTGTATATATAGACGGGTGTCTAGTTATTCAAGTGGATTCGGAAATCTTTGTTCACGTCTATTAGGACAGGCGGGCTCCTCTCAATGTATTGAATAACCTAGAAAGAATGATTTTATTGAAGGCAGATTTAATGGCGAGTCATGTTAGCACCACTTTCAAAGAGGCTATCCATATTGATTTCCGAGGAGAAATCCGATGTACTCCAACCGTGGGGACTGTGGGACTATGGGGATGAAATGCAGTACAAGACCAATAAACCGATGAGAAAGCCCGGCCTCCAAAATGCCAAGACACGCTTCTCAGTTCTTGTTTTCATCTGGCCTGATCTAAATCTAGCTATAAATTGTCCGTCATTCTCCACAGTATTGTATCGGCAGATACATAGAGTCGATCAACTCAGTACTGGACCCTTGAGAAAACAGAAGCACTCAAGACATGGCAACTCCGACTAATCCCCTCAAGGACGCTGGAGTCCCTCAAAACATACTATCTCTTTTAGATCGCCTGCATGCTGCCTCGATCGAGCAAGAGAGTCGTCTAGATAGAACCGCATTTGAACCAGACCAGATTCACAATGCCACCCGCGAAGCCTTTATTGCGTTGGACCAGGACAAATGCCACTTTGTATATCAGTTGGCGCGCGCAATCAACGCCAAGAACATCGTCGAAGCAGGCACCAGTTTCGGTGTTAGTACCATTTACCTGGGTCTGGCTGTGAGTGCGAACGTGGAAGCTTCTGGTGGATCTGGAACTGTTATTGGGACAGAGCATGAGCCTTCCAAGGCGGAACAGGCTCGCAGGTACTGGGCTGAGGCTGGAGAGGTGGTATCGAGACACATTGATCTGCGCGTGGGCGATCTGCGGGAAACGTTGAAACAGAATGTTCCCACTGTTGATATGCTTCTTTTGGACAGTGAGTTCTTTCTTTATGTGGAATCAGGCTGAATCATATACTAATAACCTCGTTAGTCTGGGCTCCTATGACGCTTCCCGCTTTGAAAGCTATCCAGCCGCATCTCCGACATGGCGCAGTTGTAATCATTGACAACACCATCAGGTCTGCAGCTCGCTATAAGGATCTGCTCGAATACCTGCGCCAGGAGAATAGTGGGTTCACCAACTTGACTATTCCTTATTCGAAGGGCTTGGAGATGTGTGTTTATGCTCCGCGATCATAAGTCAGATATGAGAAGAGGTGTGCTCTTCTATGTATCTGGGAACCATCTCAGGTCACCTCCTTCTACTATCTTGCAAATCTGAAAACAAGCCAGGTCGTCTGAGGTTTGGGAACATGTATTACGTGATGGCGCGTGCTTTTCTTAATCTTTGTAGCCATTCTTCTTCACCATCACTTTCTAGAATCTAGCAATAGTATCTATACGTACGAGAGCTTCTGCAAGTGTCGTAGGCTTGACATTTTATTTAGTGCATAGTCCTGACTTATTTCTTGCTTCTCGTCTCATATAGGTGGATTTAAGTATGGTCTAAATGGTTTGAACTAGTTATTGAGTCGTTAGATAAACATAGTACTACGCAACCTCTGCTAATATCCCGACCCTCCTTTATACATACTGGTTTAATATGGAATTTTCAAAGTTGTTCGAGACTACACTTCTGGTGAATAAGGCAACTGCTTGAACTATGAAGTTCTCTGGTAAGTGACGGTCTATTTGTCTGACCCAGGATATTTCCGTAAGCTTGGCCTTGTGCCAATGAAAGAGGGAGATGGTTTATAGACCACTGAAATCTGTACATTTAGCGCTGACTGACTATTGAAAGGCTGTATCGTGAAGGCATTTATGAACCAGCCCTGGAATATGTAGGTTTTACAATTAGTAAAATCCTGGGCTCAGGAGTGCCTCGTAAGGTCTACTCAATTTTCTTTTTAAGCAGTAGTCTGTTAATCATCTCATCCTTAGATTGGATACACTATCATTGGCTCGCGAGATAGAATGATTATAAATCATAGACTTAAGCTCAACGTAGATCCTCGTAGGATCTAAAATCGGGTGGGATCGCGGTCTTGTCCAAAACTAGCTAGTGGTATATTGGGAATCAAGGGATGAGCTTCAAACCTGAGTTTACACGTACTGTAGAAAGGCCCGAAGACTCGTCACTGGATGCCTACCAGAACAAGCTCCTCATTCATTCAATCAAGCATTGCGGTCCCACATTTGACACGCACCTATGAATCAAATATGGTGAGCAAGGCACCGTTGCCGGTGCTGTACCATGAGCTTGTCGAATTCTGCAGCTGCACGCATCGGCCATGGGGTAATATAACTGGTGTCTTTCACTCACATAAAGCTTCAATTAACAGAATCAGGGCTTTTATTTTGAATACATATTTCCGACTTTATACCCTACAGTGTAGTACATCGCCATATCGATCTACGCTCGCTATCTGGGTTCCATCATTATCTCTGGATCTTGATCGGATCGTATCTCTTCTGTTCGGATACGATGACATAGATAATAGAACTGATGCACTCTGGTGTCAGTATCACGCAATAAGAATTAAAGAAGAATTGCGCATGTAGTGATGCACATAGCACTGTAGAAGGGGTCTGCGCTGCGCTAGTACCCTACCTTGGCACCTGTATTTCGCCGGTAAACATGTCAACGATATAGATTTAGCTTTGGGTTATGAGCAACTTGCAACCATTCCTCCTATTAAAACTCCCTGCAATGCTACGTTATGAGATATACGATGGAACTTCTGATTTGGCAGTTCACGTTCCCACGGGCTTCCAAGTATCTAATAGTACCTAGCATGTGCTCAACACCGCGCTATTGATCTTGGTACGTTCAAGATGACAAAGGCGAACTATAGCGGAATACTCCCGACTAGAAGCGGCTGTTAGAAATTTATCAGGTGCGGCTGCTTTTCTTTGCCAACTGGCCTTTTACTTTGGAAGTCGGTCGAACTGAACAAGGTGGCCACTGACCAGGAGGGTCCACTGCGAATCGGGAAGCGAGACTCGCTCCACGCCATAGACCACACCTATCTTGATCTGTGGCTTGCTTCTGCCAAAATCCAACTGATAAATACGAATTAGCTCCGGGGCCGGCACTTTCATCCATACGAAGTAACGATCTATAACGCTGGTGGATCTACCAGAACGGAATGTGAGTATCGGTCAGCTCACTGATAACCAAGGTTAACTATTCAGCTACGCCACTGTCTTGAAATCCTCGGCTGCGTCTTGTAGCGATGGAGAATTCATCCATCGTGATGGACCTTCCATTTCCTAGCCTAGTATAGTAATGATCAGCGGACCGATGCATTGCCAACTCATCTATCAAGCGTCAACATATGGATGGATACAAGTCACAGGTCACCCGGAAAGCTAACCAAGCGATCCAAGCGAGGCCAAAGACGCAGGGCGATGGCATTCAGGTAGCTCATAGGTACAAGTTGTCTGGACGACATGAATACTGACGGCGGCGCGTCCCTTCAGCAGAAATTCGGTATCATCACCCCCACCGTCAAAACGAAAACATCCCACCCCCTGGATGGAGCAAGACCGTGGCTCTGAGCCATCGGCATTAACCTGCTGATTGGCCCTCCGTTTCCTTTTTCGTTTCTTATACGTTACACTAAAGATGCACTGCTGTTTGCATGTACCCCTCAGTTCAGCTGAGCTGGGCACAGCTCCACTATGGGACTCGAAAGGCTGACCATTGGTAGATTTCGACCTCCACTTGATCGGGACCACAACAGAGAATCTCAAACTTGACGATCTTCTAGGATATGGAACATTCATTTATTTGCTCCTGGCGGCATGGACATCGAGCCCCTCAACTCGCAGATCAATTCTGTAGATCGTGCCAATAACGCAATGCCTAGCCTTGCTGGTGGAGGGGCTATGCTCGATAATGTACCCTCTGGCTACGCACCAACATGACTCAAACGTAATTGGTATGAAAATCCCTCACGAAATTTGGTTCGGGAATAGTCCTAGGAGATTTATTACTTGGAGGAAAATCATGTGCTGTGGACCAGAGTTACATAGCTTTCCAGGGTATATAGTGTACCTTGTCGCGCATATCCCAACAAAGTCCTGGTGAAATTTTTCAAGTCAATAAGTGAGCAAATTCTCGGTGAGAACATAACACAGAAAGAAAACATGGTGAGATACATCACAATGGACTTTCTAGTCTTGATCTAACATCACCCACCTGATAGGGTCGTTACACACGCGAAGAGATTGATTACTGGAGGGCAAGGTTCAAGGAAATTGTAAGTATATGGAAGCGACTAATCGGCACGACTGCTCCTAATTTCATCAAATCTGAAAGAATACCAGCGGTGATCGTAAGTGCCTTCTTCTATAGAACTACTGTCCCCACTGGCTCGTGTATCTGACCTACTAGGTTATATCGAACCGTATGAGATCATTAACGCTGCGAAAAAGGAAGGTTTCGAGATGAGTGATGAGGAGGCCAAGGAGTGGATCGACGAGTTGGATGAGAACCACGACGGCAAAGTCTCATTTAGCGGTATGTTGCCTCTAGAACCTCTAACCAGCATTAGAGTTCGTTTGATCGTACTGACTCTAATGGATAGAATTCATTAAAGCGTTTGGAGAACTAAAGAGCAACCAGTGATATCGGATTCTGTTCCGATAATAGATCTCTACAGAAGTGGTATTGATTAGAATGAAGCAGTTGGTCTAAAGAGCAGTTTGATAGTACCTGTACTGGCCTATCCCTACCGTGCCTACAATGTGGAGTCTGTATAAATGATAATAGTACCAGGCCTCGGGGTACACCATTATCTGAGTCAAAACTGGTCCACTGCGCCTACAGTTAAGTGTCACATGTTTAATAGATTTAACAGCGAGGGCTGGAGAGTAAAGCCCTCGAACACTCGACCCAGCTTAACATAGGGTTTCCCCACCAGTGCAGGGTTAGAATCCATTTACAGTACCATAGAAATTAGGAATGGAAGGAAACCTTGATGACCATAAAAGCTGCCATCTATATTTTACTTTTGCCAGTTGCTCAAGGCCTAGTTGGAAACGTCTCTAGAATGCAAATTGTACATCCTATCTGGTCATGGAAGAGGTTCAGTGAGCACTTTAATACTACCATAGGCCAGTTCACTGTAACCTAACCCGCTAAGGCGGCAATGACCTGCTGAATGGCCGCATATGTTGGTCGAGAGAGTATTGCTTTCGCTTCGGTTGTGGCCATAGTATGTGCTCTAACCACGTTTCGAGCTGGTGACAATTAGCATATTTCGAGTTGCGGCAATTTATACAGTAACTGACTCGTGTAAATCTGGCGCCGACCCAAGAGACTACCGTGAGAAATGTCAGGGTCCCTCCAATGACGAGAAACCACCACCAACTCGGGTCATCTTTCAAGATGTCCACGTTCATTCCGAGAAGACTCTATACAGGTCAGGCATCACTGTAGCATCATGACTGGTGGTACCTACTGAGGCAAACATGAGAGGGAGGAATATGAACTAGGCTTGTCAGTCAATGTCCAAGTGAACTGGAGCTCATAATTTTACCGTGATCCAACTCAGCCGCTTCATGCTCGCGGCTAGACTGGTGGATCGGTGAGCTTCATTGATTGACACCCAGGCAAATTCCTGGGCAATATCGTGTTAGACAGAGGCCATGGCAACCACCGCTCAACAAAGGTAGTGAGCACTCACCACTTGAAGCAAGTCCCGAATCCCCTGCTCCATTTTATCGATCTGGCTTGAAACATCATGCTCAAAAGTAGTGATAATCTTACCCATGTGCTCACTGAGCTGCCGACTCTCAGTGAAAGCTTGGTACTGGGAAACAAATTCCCTCGCCTGATTTAGCTGGTCTTCCAGCATCCATTGCATTTGGGTCCATTTTTGCATATTCCCCGCTATAGCGTCAATTAGCAAGTCATCCTTACCAGCAGCGGCCAGCTGATATGATCGCTATCAGCCCGGAAGTCAGCTTGTGCCGTCAACAGCGTTTCTTCCCTCGATTACTTACCAAGTGCCCAAGGTTTCTCCTTTCATCTCGACAGAAGCTTATCCAGTCGTCCTTCCAAGTTTGCATGAACAGCTCGATAAACTCCAAGTCGCTTTGCGGGGTCCAACCAAATGGCAGATTACTGAAATAGTGAATTGTTTTAGGAGGCGCTTCAAGTACTGACCATTCAATGGTTCGGAGACGGTAGTACTCGCCATCATTGTCTTCAGGAGACTCCTGTGGGGCCTTCATGTTCTGGAAACGGGTGACTATCGACAGACTAAATGTCCTGCATGGGCTTCTGTTTCCCAGAGAGAACTTTAGTTCGTTGGGAAGATTGTCCATCTGGCAATATGTGTTCCACAGCTGGTTCTCTCGAAAGAGTCTGATGACATATGGGTGGTGATGAGTTAGAATAATATACATAGGGGCAAGACCAACTCACATCAGATGACTCTCCTCTGCGCTCTTTGTCATCTTTCTCATTTTCTGGTCAAATGCTTCCTCCAAAATCCACTCTACGTCCTGTCGTCCGTCTTTAAGCGTCATGATGTCCACGGCGATGCTCTGCTGGATGTTGCTAGAGTACTGGGCGAAGTCGTCATCGTCGTCCTCGAGTTCAAGGATTCGAGCACGTTTCCCAAGTAAAGTGGCGACCGCAGTGCGATCACGCTCCTGGATTGTCATTTCCATCACTGGTATAGAGGAATAACCATCCCAATTCGCTTTATTCAGACCCACTAGAGGTTCTGCCACCCTCAATGTGCTACAGGGCCCAAACCAATCACTGCTTCTGAGCCCCTGCGTGCTTGCTTTGTAGTCTAAGAGTAGCCTCACGGTGGGCCGGTCACTTTGCTGGAGGGCCATTCTCATAAGAGGGATCGTACTGTACATATCCTCCTCCTTCAGGTTGGATGTGTATCGATCTAAGAACAGTTTCAACAGGCGGGAGCGGCCTTCTCGTATAAGAAGATGCAGTGACACGCAGTCCTTTTTCGTTGTCTCCGGGTCTACGCCAGACATAAGCATGTCGGCTATTTCGTAGTGCTTCCACTCCAAAGCATAGATAAGCGGCGTTTTCCTATGGCGATCAATCGAGTTTGGATCCGTCCACGTTGCTCGGAGCAATTCCTGGACCAGACGCCGATCGCCTCGCTCACACGCCCAAGCCAGAAATGTTCGTCGTTTCTTGGTCACTGGCTCTGTGCTTCCTCTGGGGCCAAGAATTGAGCACCATCGCTGGAAGTCCACCGGGTCCTTTTCAGTTTCTCGATCATCATTACCTCTGTCTGTATTGTTTAGAAACCACCACAAGGGTATCTGTCCCTCATTATCACGGATCTCGACATCAGCACCGCGGTCAACCAATGTCTCCACGATGTGTAAATGTGAGTTCTCAGCAGCCCAAGATAACGGTGTCCGACCGCGTCTGTCTCTACTGTTAGAATCCGCGCGACCGTCAACCAAGAGTCGCTCGACAACTAAATTATGTCCTCTCTCTGCAGCTCGGGATAACGGTGTGCGGCCCCATTTGTCCGCGAGGTCCGACTGAGCACCCTTTTGCAAGAGTAGACACACTATCTCATGGTCGCCCGCTTTGGCCGCCCAATGCAGGGGTGTTTCTCCAGTATGGTCCCCAAGGTCGGGGTCGGCACCTCTGGCAATGAGGAGGTCAAAGAGCACATCTACATTGAGGCGGTTCCGGAGATCTTGTTTTGAACTAAATGAGATAGTTCGGGACAAGACGGTTCGGCCCGTGCGGTCCTGAATGTTAGGCGATACACCATTGAGAAGAGATTGTGCTGCATCGACGTGACCTCGTTCAATGGCTTGCATTATCTCTGTCATGCGGAACTCATCCAGTGATTGACGCGTGATGTTCGCGACATTGTGCATTTTAATTGACTTTCGACCGTCAATTGTCCAATTATACAAAGGTTGCGAAGGATGGGATACATATGAGTGTAAACCTCGGTAGTCAATCGTACCGTTGTTGTTTATTTTCAATTTTCCCCCTGCGTAATTAGTGCGCCTTTGTCCTTGATTCTTCACGCGATTTATACGGAGCACTCCGACCTGAGATGATCATCTGTCAGCCTTGCCCTAAACATATCTATTCCTCATTCAGCCTAGAAGCTCACGTGCATGCTGCGGGAATATATCTACAAATCGACCAGAATAGGTTAAACCACCACTAACGCTACCCCTTTATCACAGATGCTTCTCACTTATAACTGTATAGATATCTCGCCAGACCGTGCTCCATATCGATAAATGCCTGGTTCGCCTCACTTAGCGGCCGTTCCACCGCCCATGGCTGAATGCTTTTCTCAACCGCCAGCTGGAGCATCTCCTAGATCTCCTTTGGTGACCTGATAATAAGACAGTGAGGTTACAAGCAGAATGAGAATATATTACGACTTCATCGATCAATGAGTCGAGACTTGGCCAGAGCTTTCTCCTGAGGTCTATACTTGCAAACTTGCGCTTGGCGTTATGGAGAGCTTGATCCACTCACTTGAGATCGAGATCTTGGCATTATGGAGTACTTCCCACTTGGTCCAGCTTCTCGGAAATCCTGGCCTTCGAAGTTCTCCGTTGTCATGTTAGAGCCAAAGTCATTGTAGTCCAATTGAGGTCAATATGAATGCAGCCCACATGTACGTTTGAATAGCTTCATAATTTAGTATGTATTTTAGCAATGCCGTTAATTTTTAACCAAGGCAGCCCCGCGATCCTGGATTCAAGATAGTACAGGTACAGGATCATAACACAAATATAACGACCCCGGAGTTGTCATGTCTTCCAGTATTTGCAGCCAAGCAACCATAGATTCGCATAACACACTGTTGAACCGGTCACTTCTGCCAGATCTAAACCAGTAATGTCACTGAGATGTCTCATTCTTCACCCGGATTCCCCCCTTCCAAGAACTTGAAGAACGTCAATCGATTCCCATCATGGTCCTTGATGGTAAACTGCCGAAAGCCCCATGACGTGTCTTCAATGTCCTCCACAATGATCACCTCTTCACGATCTTTCAAATATCGGTAATACTCGTCTAGTTCCTGGGTTCCTAGTGCGACCATGGCTTCCGACGCTTTGAATTCTTCAACAGAGGCTTGCGAGAAGTAAAAGTTGGCGTCGGCTTTTTTACCCATGAAAATTGAACAAAAGGTCAGCTCGGACGTGCCATCTTCGGGTTTGACACTGCCAAGCTCGAAGCCGAGAATCTCAGTGTAGAATTGGACCGTGCGAGAAATCGAAGTAGATTGAAACATGGGAATCACTTTCCATGCGGACTTGGTTATTTTGGAGGTCATTTTGTAGTTATATGTTGGTTGGGTCAATGCTATCGTACAACAATCTATGGGGCGTTGAATGTATATTATAGCAAGATCCTGGTTGCTGCCTGCTGCTGCCTGTCTAGATTAGTAATACAGAACCGAAATCAAGTTCTGCACAGACAAGTTATCAGGCTTGAAATGAGAAAGACATTGTTTTTTATGACCAGTTTCAAATTCAAACTGCTTATGAATAACCGCTGTAATGAATCAGAATCCTTGCAAGACCATCACAGTACCACACTTCATGCCAACAGACTCAGATAAACCCTCTTAATTCTCTGGATCCCTTCCGCCAACTCCTCACTGGACACTGCAAAGCTGACTCGCATCCATCCTTTCTGCTCCTCGGGCATATGATATGCTCTCCCTGGCACCACTGATACTCCTCCCCCCATGTAAGCGCGGAGGGCGAGGATCTCCTCGTCCCAGGTAGTTGCACGGGGGGCCAACCGAGCGAGAACGAACACTGTCGCACAGCTCGGGAAATACTCAATTCCAGTGGCTTTGAATGCGGTGGTTAGGGTCGTATATGTCTCCGCCAGTCTGGTGGTACTGAGTGTCAGCAATTCCGGCAGCTGCGGCGAGGCGAGCACTTCCTTTGCGAAGACGGTCGACAACACCGATACATGTACGGACGCCACGAGCCCTACAACGTCCCTCAGGGACCGGTTGCGGGTTACGACGCAGCCCTAAGTCTTGGTCAGGACTCGGCCACTAATGCAGGTGAAAGGACCACAGTAACTATGAACAACATACCAGTCGCACGCCACTAGCGGAAAGGTCCTTGCTCATGCTCCACACGACGTGGATGCGCTGCGGATCACATCCAACACTGGAGGGATCAATGCTTAAACAGGAGACAAAGGGCTCGGGATTTGTAAAGTCCGGGCTAACGAAGCTGCTGAGGGCAAACACCTCGTCGGAAACAAGGTGGATGTTCCGCCGTTGGCAGAACGCCATGCATTGTTCGAGAATTGATCGGGAGTATGGTCGACCGAGAGGGTTGTGTGGATTGGCGAGTACGAGCGCCTTGATCGGACAAGGCG